TTCGCACAAGGGCTAGGGCGCCTGGGGTTCGCTTCCATGGCGCTAGACTGGGAGCGCCCCTTCCTCACGCCTGGTCTTCGGCCGTTCAGGGGAAGCTGGGGCTCCTCACGCTACCCACGATGATTCGCGTCCTCTGTGGCTGGCTAGCAGACCGCCTGGAAGCGGGGGGCGTCTCCAGAAGCCGGCCTCGCTATTGGACGGGGCGGCACCGCTCTCCTTCTACACCGACGCTAAAGCCGAGAATGGACGTGCCTGGATTGGGGGCTTCCTCGAGCTAGTGGACGGCTGCCACGGTCCCTGGTTCTCGCTAGAGGTGAAGAAGGAATGGGCCCCCTGGGCCTTCGCTAAAGGAGACCCGAACAAGGTCATAGCCGCGTTGGAGCTACTGGCTACTCTGGTGGGTGTGAGGCTTTGGGTCCCGGAAGGGGAGGCTAAGAAGACCTCCAAGGTGGCCATCCGGGGCTACACTGACAACCAGTCCAACGAAGCGCTACTGAAGAAGGCTATGACGACGAAGTTCCCATCGACCTTGGTGTTGATGGAGCTAGCAGAGGAACTCTCCGCTAAGAACTGTGAGCTTCAGCTACAGTGGATCCGCAGGGATCTGAACCAGCTAGCGGACGATCTCACGAACGAGAACTTCGCTAGTTTCTCCCCGGACTTCAGGGTGAACCTGGAGGGGGAGAAGCTAGAGTGGCGCGTGCTGGGCCGTCTCCTCGAACACTCGGCTAGCTACTTCCAAGAGCTAGGAGTGAGGAAAAGGACCGGAGAGCCTAAGGCTCCGAGGTTCGCTAAGAAGGCCCGTAAGCTAGGTCCCTGGTAGCCCTACGGCTGCGCAGGAGATTAGCTAGCCAAAGGCTAGAGTTCTTCTCCGGGCTAACGCGGGACTTCGCCACAACGCTAAAAAGAGAGAAGTTCGTGTTGTCCGTGCTACTGCGTGAAGCCAGCTAGCTTAAGCTAGGCTTGCTACGTACTCCCCGGAGGTGTAGAGGGAGGTGGCGGGAGGATACGCTAGCTAGTGTACGCACTCGTGCCGAGGGACGAGGTACGACAGTGTATGCTAGCGCCAGTATCCCCTTGGGAAACATCGAAGGTGTTTCGCTAGAAAACGTCGAAGGGGTTTTCCTCTGAAGCTAAACAGAACGAAGCTTGTCTGTTTGCTAGAGTGTCTGCACATGGCCGGTGAAGCAGTGCTACTCAGTGGCCATTGTGCTGAAAGGCCCCCAGCTATTGGGGGGCAAATTTCGAGTGCCCACCCAACCCACCCTGGAGATTAGCTAGCCGAAGGCTAGAGTTCTTCTCCGGGCTAACGCGGGACTTCGCCACAACGCTAAAAAGAGAGAAGTTCGTGTTGTCCGTGCTACTGCGTGAAGCCAGCTAGCTTAAGCTAGGCTTGCTACGTACTCCCCGGAGGTGTAGAGGGAGGTGGCGGGAGGATACGCTAGCTAGTGTACTAGGTTTAGGCTTGTGGAAGTGCTACGCACGCCGCAATGCCGAACCTTACTGTATGCTTTCCGCCCACGCAACTTTGGCTCAAGTGTGAGCACATGCTTTAGAAAGCATTGCCCATAGCTAAATAGCTATCGTCTTCTGTGACCTTCCGAGGAACAGAGCCATCCCGAGCACAGACGATCCATCGCTGGCCGCGAGGGTGCAAAACAAGCGAGCTCTGGATCTGCCTGCACGGGGGTTGAGGCTTCCGTGTGAGAAAGGGAGAGAGAGAGTGGGTGAGCGACAAGGGCATCATCAAGATCAAATCCCCACGCAATTTGTGCCGCCGCCGTAGGGCCCTTAAGTCACACCGGTAGCACGCAGTTCGGCAAAGTGGCGCCAATACTGGTTTAAATCCAGATGTTGCAAGTTTGTTTGATTGATTGCATGCGGAGCCAGGACAAAGTCGACACGTGCAAAAGCTGCGTGATTCTCAGCTGGGGTGCATGCCGGAGATTGGCAGTCACTTTGCCGTCATTATCGAAATCATTGGGAAGACTGAGGACAACAAATCACAAAAGAAAACTACAAACAATGACAAACACATGTTAAGCACAGGAGTCAGGAGACACAGAAGAAGGAAATGACAGACCCCGGTGACAAAAAACGACGAAGCATGACAGCCACAGGAGACAGGACAATCAAATGACGCACCCCAATGACAAGGAAATGACACCTGCACCGAGGGTGGGGAACAATGATTTCATGAGAACCCATGCGTGTTGGGCAAAACATCATACAAGAGTACATGTTGCTTGGCTTTCATTGCTGGGGCAATTTTACTTGCGATCGCACACGTGTAGCATTTCAGGCTGGCTGGCCTGGTTTGATGAAGACGAAGAGGCCTAAAGTGCACGCACTGACCTGTGAAGTTGCATGGACGGACATCCCACTGTGAAGCTTCCTGCTGTTGTGCCGCGTGAGCTACGAGGAAGAATCCCCCTTGCTGGAGGCCCAAGGGACGTCATTGTGCGAGGCCAAGCTGGACCCGAATGAGTTCAAAGCACCTGCCGAGTGGAGCCGCGTGCGTTTTGTGGTGTTTAACTCAGGCTTTCGAGGCTCTGCAATTGCTGCTGGCCTTGGCCTTGGGCTATCTTGTGGTAGAGCTTTGCAGCTCAAGCTGTTGAGCAGGCGGTCCTGCCGCGTTGGCCGCGGTAAGCAATCCGATCCTGCCCAGACCAAGCATGACGAGGACCTCCGTGTCGGCTGAGATGCGCATACAGGAGCATGATCCCAGCCTTGCAGGGCTGCAGGTTCTGGCTCGGGTTTACCGGGGCGGGGTGTGGCAGATGAGAGCCATATGTCATGCTTGCATAGTTCCAAAATCCCGAAACCCTCCGCGGCTCCTGTGGAAGAGACATCCAGTGCGAGGCATGCATGAGAAGTCTCTTCGTTTCCACGCCGGTCACAGCAGAAGCTTGACATTACAGTTCATATCAGCTGGCATAAGATGTTACGGGACATTGCGTGACTGCGTGGTCCAACCACCTCCACTTTGACTTGTCGAAGTGTCGAGTATGAACAAAAAAACAAAAAACCTTTCAAACACGTGCCGCATAGTGCTGTGGTCAGCAATGCTGACCACAGCACTATGCGGCACGTGTTTGTACCCATGCGAACCGAACCCCGTTGCCTTTTACGAGGAACAAGAGAGTGCACGCCTTCTTGAGCTCACATGTTGTTGTGCGGAGTCTCGATCCCTTGCTGCATTGTGATTGCTTCGTCATCGTCTATGACAAGATCCAGCGTCTTGAGGCGCAAAACGTTGATGGCTCGTGTCACGGCGTTGAGTCCGTTTACAGTTCTGCTGGGTTCGGAGGCGCATGTCTTCTTTCGGAAAGCTTTGCGAAAGCGTCTCAAAGTTCGGTAGCCTTTGACCGCCGAGTGATCGTTCTTCTGGGCTGCAAGGCTGCAAGGCTTTTTCCTGAACGCATGTTCAGTTATTCGTCCGTTGGCTTATGTTTCGTGGCCTGCATCGGCGAGTGCGCAGCACTCGTCATGTGCTACCGCAATTCCGTCGAGATCACCTCCGCCCGCCGACCTGTTCGTGTAATCCTGCTGCTTCGCATGAACCGACACTTGCACTACCCACACTACCCCCCGCCCGTGCCGCTTCCCCAGCCCCCAGCTCTGTCTAGCGGTGGTGATGCTGTTGCCGGTGCCGGTCCTGAAGTTCCGGCTGCGTCCATGCTTCTGGAATTCGTCGGACAGTTGGTCAGTCGAGTTTATGTTCGATGGCTCATTGTTGTGCAAGTCATTGTCGTGATCGCGGCTGTATGGTGCATGAGTGCATGAGGGCACAACTGACGTCAATGCTTGTCGATGTCCGGAGTTTCAAAGTATTTTCAACATCATGTATCACGGGTTTTTGCCAGGTGCAGTGTGTGAGTCGTCGATGTGGTTGCCATGACCGAGCACCTAAAGTAGATTCTACGCCCCAGCTCTGGCTCTGTAGACTCGCGAACTATGCGACTGTTGCTTTGCCGTCTTGCTGTACTGGATTCTGTCAGACTCATTGCTCGAGTCCTCGGTGCTTATGCAGTGAGGGTCCTGTGCAGGATGTGTCCGCGCAGCGAACATGGAGTAATATGCAACGTCGTGACTACGCGGCTCCATGTTGTAACAGGTTCTGCGCAGCACATTGTCGTAGTCGTGCTTGGTGTCACGTCATTCCACCCAGGTCGGTGGAAGCTTTAAACCCGACTCTTTACATTCGGCCTTTTCCTTCTTTTCCCGCTTGAAATCGCAAATGCAAACACCACGACACGGACCCGATGACTCATCCATTGCAAGCTCTACCTACTCGCCAAGAATCATCCTCCGTCGCCAGAAATGGTCCTTATTCAGGTTGACGTCGATTCATGTTAAACAGCGGAGGGGTTTTTCAGGGTTGGCATCTGTGATTCTGAGTTTCTGACGTTGATGGATTGCCTCATGCTTGCATCCGGTTTCTCGTCGTGGCTGGCCAGCCGTAGACGTAGTCTCCGCAGCAAGACAAGGAGGTGTTGCGGAACATCCGACACAAGCCCGACATCTGCCCTCAGTTCGTAAGTGAACCCGCAGAGCCCAGACATGCCCAGACCCTCAACCTAACAGATCGCTCTGAAACCGGCAAAGTAAAAGGGATATCTTGCAATGACCCTGCGGAGCCAACCAGCAAAGCCCTAAAACCAACTCCTGAGCATCGTTAGCCCTAAGCCCTCAGACTACACCCAGCTTCCTGGAACGTAACGCTTTCCAATAGAACTGTTCCTCTCTGCGTCCCGGCGCCCCGACGTCGGCCGAATGCTCAACGCTGAACCCGAGACAGCCCAGTGCTCCCTGGCTTGTGTTTGCTGTACTTCCATGAGATGTGCAGTTTGGGGGGGTTCGGGTCTCCTAGGGAGCGTACTTGTTTCCTGGTCCGAACAAATGCTTCACGGACTTTTGAGGCGGGGTTCCCACTGAGCTGAAACCCTGCTTCAAGTGACGCGCGTCGGACTGTGATCAAGGGACATGGTCCCACCGAGGTGATTACATCAATGAGTATTGCTGGCATCGGTCCTAGGCTGAGAATGCAAATTCAAGCCGGGCTTTCGCCTCGAGCCCAGCCTTGTGTTGTATTTTGTTATGTGTGTTTCCAGTTTCCACCACCTGCGGCTTCCACATGATGCGCAAAGGCCTCGGGCCGAGCATTGCGCACACCAGACCCTGAACCCTCTCTTCAGTCTCAAAGCCTACTCTTTCGCGTTCATGATGCTATGTCACGGGGCTGTGAATTCCTCAGCATGCGTTGGGGCAGTGGGCGAGAGGTCATGCAGGCGAAGTTCAACGAATCTGGCAGCCGTTGCCCTACTCAGGAAACTTTAGTGTTGGCAAGTTAAGTGCCAGGGTCGGTTTCGAACTTGCCTAGAACGGAAATGCCAGGAGACAAGTTTTCGATGCGCTGGACTCCTGCCATAAGGAGGACTCGCTCTGCTCTCCCACAGGGCTTTCTTTGCAGTCTCGTTGAGTGTGCGCGTGTACACTGCATTCTGCAGGCTCGGGGATGGCCTGGGCGGCCTGGCTACAAACATTGCGCACCAAAACATGCAGCCCCGGCCCGGCATGGTGCTGCCTGGAATGCGCTTGAAGGACTGGATGCTTGAATGCCCTGGCCCTGGCCATCAGGAGATTTACGACTCCGACTCTTCTTGGATTTGCCGCAGCACTTGCGTGCTATTCGCAGTCGGGTGTCGCCTCTTTTACATGAGCGGGATTGAGTGGGTCCACGCCACGAGGTGCGCATGCGCATCTCTCTCCACGATCATTGCGAAAGGCCGGATGGACTTCCAGTCAGAAAGTGTCCGGTTCACCAAGCTGCAGGCCGCGGGCAACATTCAAGAAGCTTGATGTGGGAAGGCGGCATACGTCCTTTTCCAACTTGCGACAGGCCGTCCCCTGCAGGGAGTGCGAACAAGCTTCTAGCAGAGAAGTGTTTTGCAAGAGCGAGAACAAGCTTCTGTCGGGGAAGTGTGTATCAAGCTGTCGGAGACCTTTTGCCATGTAGTACTGCGGGAGCAGCTTGCATCAGTGTATTTCGAGAATCTCAGTGGCGTGTCCGTCTATCGGCTTAAAAGCAAGGAAAACAGAATTAATGAACCACCAATCGCAAGTGCTTGATTTTTCTGTGCCGCCATGCCTTCTTGGCAGGATGATGGTAAAAACTGAGACTTAGCTTTGTCCACCGCCATCATTACCCTCTGTTGCTGCTCCGTGCCAGGCTTTTGGCTCCCCAGTTTCTTTCAATGAGTGTGAGAAGTTGAGGCGTGCAGAACTTGAGCCACGCTTGGCTCCCGAGTGATTTGGCGACGTCTTTTGCGAGCTTTTGGCGCAGCTTTTCCGAGTCTTACGTGAGTCGCATGTGTATCTTTGGCCATCGTAATGTTCACGACTTGTTGTTGGCCCTGGCCACGTCGAACCTCTCCTGCATGGCCTCTCGCGCAACCTTTTCACAGCTTGTGCGTTCTGCATGCTCGGACCCACCAACTTTATGGAGTACTTGCACACAGCCTGCTTTGGGTTTCGCATCTTGATGGTACCCTGCCTCGGTCAGGCCAGCCTTTCAACGAATTTGCCATGCAGTACTGCAGGAGCACCAAGCAACAGCTTATGTCGAGAACTTCAGTGGCGTGTCCGTACAGCTTGGCAAGCGAGACGCGCGCGAATTCAGTTGCACAAGCTATTCGAACCATGGTAGGTAGCAACTCAGCAAGAGTTGATATGCCAACCTGCTAGATTGCTAAATGAGTTAAGTTGTGCGGGCAACAGTGCGCACCACCCTTGCCCTTTCCGTCGACTGGAAAACGCAGGGCGGTGGGCTTCGCGACTCCGTCTCGGCTGGGCCCAGCGACTTTCAACGCACACAAATTGGGTCCAGCGACTTCGAACGAACACAAGTTGCGCATCATCGTTCATGGCTTGTAGCAGTATGGCAAGTTTGATGGCATACCGCAGCCTTGGCATGCCGCACGCAGAGCAGCGGTAGAGGATTGCGATGTTTCAACCGCACTTGGGTCGCACCTGCTCAGAGGTTCTCGGCGACAGATTCAGCAGCCGCGTTCTCCTCGTTTTACCGTGGTCATTTGCACCCCGAGAAGAGCACATCACCTGTCAGCCAAGTCAGCCACAGCAACGACACGCACAGATACACTCGGTAGAAGGAGGCAGATGACATGGTTGCTCTGCCCGCTTTGCATTCACGCGCCTGGGCTGTAAGTCGAAACTAAGTATACGAGGGGGATGTCTTGTGCATTCCAACGTGCTGGAAGAAAGAGAAACGAACCCTGCACGGCTTGGGCACCTCTCAGAGGCTTACTCCAGGTGCGTCGCATGACAACTGGATAAGCAACCAGGAGTAGGGGTCCCCGCAATGCCACACACAAGGGCAGATTTGTGTCAGAACAGAGCTGAATCAATCGTTTACAATGCAATGTAAGTTTCGTGAAGCAGAAGCACTGAAACGGCGGCGATCCCATATTTGTAGGTCAGGATCGTCGACTCTTTTCATCATCAGCTGCCATCCGAAGTAGCTATGAGCCGGCAGGCGGCGGCGTTTTAGCCTTCCAGTGCTTGTGAACCCTCCGCTGCCTCGTTGATCCCAGCATGCCCCAGGTTGCATCACCCCTTGCCGCCCTTGCCTGTTTGCCAGGAGTGCACGAGATGAAGGAAATCAATGAACTGTTGTCGCCTTCACACAGTATCTCGGCGGAATCCGTGATGATCGCAAGTGCGGTTGCTTGTCTGTTCTCCGCATTGAGGCACCGGTGGTTGTAGAGATCAGAAGATCTTGTCAGAGCAGGCGCGGCCCAGCAGAAATGTTCACCATCCAGCTTTGAGTACGAATCTTCGCAGTGTGTCGCATAGACATTCTCATTTAGATGCGCTCAGAGATGGATCTGAAACGTCCGACAGATACAAGGCTGTAGCATCCCTCAGAAGCTCCAGTACCGTCAGGTGGGTGATCGGAATGCTACGGGAGGAGCCATCCTCTTCCAAATTTACGAGACCATGGTGAAGCCGCAATTGCAGCATGCTCAGCCGCAGCGCTGTATGCTTCCAGCATTCCAGCAGTTGGATCTACACTTGCCTGAGAAGCGCAGCTTGAGAAGCCGAGCGTCTGCTCATCACGAGCTCCCAGGAAGAGGTTCCGGATTGTGTCGAACGCAGCTCTGTGCGACTAAAGAGAGACTCGAGGCCGATTGAATGTGGAGAAGCACAGACTACTGAGACCGCCGTAACGAATTTCTGAGGATCTGTGAAGAGACTGGTGACGGCAGAACTTGCATCGTGATGGTGTGAAGATGACAGGGAAACGGACACCTGTATTCTGTGTGGGACTCTTGATACTCTTGGTAGCTGTCTGGAGGACTGGTCGTTCGGTGTTACGCACTCATAAAAGTTGAACGTGTGTGATCGTGTCGGAACCCTTGAGAAGCTTGGTCCTGCACTCGGCGGGAGGAGCATGTTTGTGACGTTCGTGACTGGCTCTCTCATTGGGGCTTCAGATGCTTGCCCCTGCAGCTTGCCGACACGCAATTCATTTCAATCTGAAAAACATGTAGCCTTCCATGGTCGTGAGCAGGAGTGGGCGGGGTAAATTCACGTGTAGAGTTTCACGCACCAAATCCTTGATCGAAGCCTTGCCTCAAGGCTTGTGACCCGGACCTCCGGCGTTTCGCGTATGCGAAACCAACTTCCAGTTTTGGAAAGGTCTCTCGTATAGTATGGCAGGTTGCGGGATGTCACTTGAAATTTAAGAAACTTGAAAACATGCCGAATAGAACTTGAACAATTGTCGCTTCTTGGATTCCCTTAAACCCAAAACGAAGCAAACAACAAGCACAAACAAGCCAAACAAGTCAAGCATCATGGATTCTGCTTAACGGCTAAACCCAAACATGAAACCTAGCGCATCCATGCCCAAAACCGAATGACGTCCATGGCCACGGTCTACTGCGTTTGAGAACAGAGCATCCATGCCCGTCCATGGTCCACTGCGTTTTCGGTTGAGAGCATCCATGCCCAGAACCTCATGACGTCCATGGCCGACTGCGTCTTCGGTTGAGACCATCCTTGCCAATAGTCTGATGACGTCCACGGTCTACTGCGTTTTCGGATGAGAGCATCCATGCCGAAAGCCCAGAAACGTCCATGGTCTACTGCGTTTTTGCTGATGTACACCGACATCAATCGAATTTGGGGATGCCATGATAAAGCGCACTGGTGTTTCTTCTCCGTTCAACTCAAGTGACGAAAGTTGGAAGTCTGAGCACTGCTGAGATGTACAAGTTTGCTGTGCTACTGTTTCCTTCCACACAGCGCTTGCTGGCTGTAAGTGTAAAGCTGTGCATGACCCAAGGGGATTTTACGTAGCCTTCCGTATGGGCCAAGAAGCAACATCATGCTCGCGAATCTCTTCACTACTCAGGCTGCACATCGCAACAAACTGGATCTGTCCGCATCAACACTCCTCCTCTGGGCCTTCGGAAGGAGAGCCCAGCACCTTTCATAGTCGATCCCAGTTCTTGATGGTCCTTGAAGCTGCCTGGCGATCCGCTATGTTGCTCCACGAGAGCAAGGTTCGACCTTGCAGGTTTCGGTGGCGCCAAAGCCACAACAAGTATTTGTATTGCCTGACCGTAGGAAGAAATGCCTGGCCATATGTAGATGCCATTGCTCCTCCAAGTCGTGCCGCAAGATCTCCCTTCAATCCTGATGTTTGAAGACCGTTAACACGCAAAGCTTCCCGGAGCTCCTCGCATCTCATCAGTCCAGCTAAGTCAACGTTCACTCTTAGGACTTCGGTAGGATCGTCGCCTCCTTGGCTTGGCGTAGGGGAGAGCAGCATCGGCCGGTGGTTCTCGTCGGACTGCTCTCTTCCTCTTGGGGGCTGTGACCTTGGGGGTGTTGTAACCCTCATGGTGGACGGTTGCGATATGGGCGACCTCCTCAGACTCGTAGGCGTACTCGTTGTCGTGATGGGGTTGTTCCCCACCGTAGGTTCGACAGCAGCTTCAGCGCGTATGCGCTCCAGCTCTCGTTCGATCGCCTGCGTCGTAGCATCTCTCAATTTGCGAAGCTTCCTCAACTTCCGTTTGGAAGCTCCGGGAAGCCACTCTTGCGAGAGCTCTGCCACGATCCATTTCAGTCCTTCCCATATAACCAGCCCACCCAAAACCATTAGAAGAACCATGAATATTCCAGCCATATCCCAGTCGATCGAGATGCGTGGTTCTCGGTCAGGTTGCCCCGATGCCATTGTCGCCATCAAGCAACATATAGTAGCCACCAGCATTTTGTCCGAAACTGCGGCTGTGCTTTTGACTCCATGACCATGAACCGGAACTCCATCGCCAATCATGCTCCATCGTTGTAGTAGATCTCGTATTCGCTGCCCCGCCAGTGCCTTGGTTAGCAGGTCAGCTGGTTGGACCAGCCCCGGAACGTGGAAGCCCTCGATTGCGCCTGCGGTGATCATCTCCTGCAACCATGCTGACTTTAGTCTAAGATGACGTGTCCTCCATGAGCCGTTCCCTGCACTGATGGTCAGTGCAGACAATCCTCCTCACCTCAATCTCCTCCGAGAGGTCCACCAAGAGGGTCTCTATCCCCAACAAAGCCACGGCGCCTTCAAGGATGGCTGTCAGCTCTGCTTCCGCCGTTGACAGCGCTATGGTTGGCTGGCGCGACGATCGCCATGCAATGGGGTTCTTTCCCCATACCACCAACCACCCTGTATGGCTTCTTTCACTCTCCGGCGCGAAGGCGGCGTCGGGGAACATTGTGAGGGTGTTGTCTCCCTTCCGAAAGGCCATGCGCCACGTTTTGGTGCCATATAGGTACCTGATCATCTTTGTTCCCACCTCCACCGCTCGGTACGGGGCTTTAAGGGTAAGCGAGGACAACAATGAGCATCCATACGACAGGTCTGGCCGGGTCTTCTGGGATATCCACAACAACTCTCCTGTGACCCGCTGAGCCTGAGCAATGCCACCCTCATCTGCTTCCATGTCCCCGTCCATCACGCTGAAGCTTGCGGTCTCCTTGCTTACAGGGATCTTGTCGGGCTTCTGGACGCCATAGTTGCGACACAACTCCTCGATGTAGGCTTGCTGTCCCACCAGAATCATTGACTCATCGTCGGTCATAGACAGCTCCATCCCAAGGAACCTGAGTGGATTATCCCGTCGCAAAAAGGTCAACGGACTTGTAGCCCATACACTCTGTACCAGATTGGCCACTTCCATCACCGCGTCCTCCAGCCCAATGATTAGCATGTCATCAACGTATATGATGATCAGCGCCTTCATGTCTCCCGACTCGTCTGTAACCACCCACCAACATGTTACGGTTCTGCCCTGCTTGAGGCGCCACCCAGACGGCGTAACCATGCTAGCCAACGTCCTGTCGCGGTAGGCCGACCAGAGCATTGGTGCCTCCCTCAAACCGTATAGGGCCCTAATCAAGCCCCACAGTTCTTGAGGCAAAGTCAATGATAGCCTCTCCAACACCTTTGGCGGGCAAACCACAATGACTGGATCTCGCGCTGACTCGCCGATCGGGGTGAGGATAAAGGCGGCGACCACGTCGATTAGTGCCACCTGCCAACATCGTGAACGCGACATAGCCAATCCAGCCCGCACAGCCTCCGTAGGAGCCGTTTCACAGTAGTAATCAGACATTGAGCTCGTCGCCATGTTTCCACAAACGACCAGTCGAGCCTTCCTCCGAAACCACGTCTTCTTGTCGGCTGGATCAGCTGCATCGTTCGGCTTGATGGTATAGACCAGCTTGGTTGGTAGACGCTGCACACCCTTCTTCTGGAGCCACAACGCCCTCTCTGGTGTCCCGGGCATTAGTCTTCGGATTGCTACCTCAATGCCCTTGACCTCCTGAGCGATGGCTTCCTTCCACTCATCTAGATGTAGTAGCGCCTCTCGTGGATCCACTGTGTAGGTCACTCTGAGGGGTTCGGTGAGGTTGGCCAGGATCTGCTCCACGTCCTTCGTGTAGGTCACTTCCGTCTTGTTCACTCTAGGAAAGTCCTGACGCAAGCTCCCCTTTGACGAGGTTCCCACTTTGACACATCCCTTTTCCGCTTCGACGAACATTTCCCAATCATCGTCGCTCAAGCTGCCGCCCTCGTCGTTGTCTGTGACCGGCTCCTCCTGGACCTCCACCTTGTCCAACTTGGGGCCTGACTCTGGAACCTTCACAAAGTACTCTGGCAACTGTGACAACGGCGTTGGGTACCCGTAGGAGTCCAGGGCCTTAACGTCTTCATAGGAAAGTTCCCCAGGCTGTCCGGGGTATAGGCTATGAGATTGATGCGAGTTCCCTCCCATGGTAGAACTTCGTGTGCTCGCCTTGGATCTAGCTCCACAGCCCTTCCCTCCTTCATCTCGTGGACCTGTCCATAGTGAACTCGCCCTTGCCTGTCGGCCCGTTGTAGAATATCGCCCACCAGAAGGTCACCAGGTCGTAGCTCCACCCACAACGCTCCACCTCGCTCCGGAGTCCTAATTGGGACTATGTAGTTCTTGGTACTGCTGTCATTGTTCGTGTCCTTGTGGTAGCCCCGATCACAGTCCTTCGAAACCATAATAGAGGTAAAGGTCGCTTCCGGGGAGAACTCCAATATGATCTTGGCCAACAGCGTCCCCAGTTCAGGATGGTCGGGTAGGCCCTTCATCCATCCCACACTCCCACCATGCCTATAAACTCCGAACTTCTTGTCCTCAAAGAAACCAGCCTCGCCAAGCTCTCCAACGAGTTCCGTTGCCTTTGTCACGTCCCAGTCCTCGAGGATAAGCTTTGCCTTGGTTTTAGCATATGCACCCAACTCACTCTCATTGAGGGCCAGAACCTTCATCTCGACGAGCTCCGGCAAAAACCCTCCTCCTGGGCTTAGGTGGGTCTACCACTTCCAACTCTTCTTCGGGAGGTCCTGGGTCATATAGTCGAGCTCTCACATGGAAGGTATGTAGGAAGTGGCCCTTCTTAGCTTCCGACTCCGGAACGTGTACAACATGACCCCCTTCCAGTAGATTGCTGAGTCCAACATAACGGCCTCGAATCCACTTGGTCTCGAAGGCCTTGTCACGTCGACGGGGTCCCTGAGCATCAAAGGCCTTTTCCTTCACCAAGACCGCCGCTCCGTAAGGGGCGATAAGTTTGGACTTCCATCCCAATACTCGTGCCCTCTGCTGAGCCACCGCCATTTCCGCCGCCGTGGGCCACAAAGTCGTAGGCAATGAGCTCCCCAACAACAGTGTCCTCGTTCGGTCCTTGACCCATCGCACCGCCGCCTCTGCGCGCCCATTTCCTTGAGGCACGCCTGCCTCCGACCACGAAGCCTTGATGTGTCGATCTCGTAGCCATCCACGGATGCTGTGACTGAAACACTCTCCACGGTCAGCATGAAACCGATAAGTAGGAAGCCCGTGAGCATCGAGGTAGAGAACAATGTCCTGAATCGCACTTTTCACTTCTGTACCTGCGTTGGTCTTCAGGGCCTTGGCGAACATAAGTACCGTACTCTCAGGAGGTTCGCAGTCTGGACGCAATCCTCCTTCGCGATCGTGCTCGCCAGGGTCTGGTTGATCTTCATCATGCGGAACGCCTTCATCATCACCTGGAAGTGATGGCTCGTATTCCGAACACTCGTAGTCTTTAAGGATCTCCTTCTGCTTCTCGGTAGCCCCGATAAGGCTAGGCTGCTCCACGACTTGATCATCATCATCACCACCTTCACGACCTTGCTCACCTGGCACATCTTCTTTGCTATCACGACCTTGCTCACCTGGCACATCTTCATCAAAAAACGGATCCCACTCTTCACATGGTGGTAGTCGAGAAGGTGCTTCTGTCCCTCTGCTTTGCTCTGGTCCTTCGTCTGGCTTGTGGCTATTGTCCCTCTCTTCACGTGGTGGTAGTTGAGAAGGTGCTTCTGGCCCTTTGCTTTGCTCTGGTCCAGTGCTTGGCTTGTGGCTATTGTCCCTCTCTTCACGTGGTGGTAGTTGAGAAGGTGCTTCTGGCCCTTTGCTTTGCTCTGGTCCAGTGCTTGGCTTGTGGCTGTTGTCCCTCTCTTCACGTGGTGGTAGTTGAGAAGGTGCTTCTGGCCCTTTGCTTTGCTCTGGTCCATTGCTTGTGTTTTCAACGTCCAAGGGATCTTGAAGACCATCATCCTCAGGTGGTTTTCGGCCACTATAAGACTTCACGAACTCCTTCGGCAGAGTGTACTTGCCCACCATCAAGTAGCGGAGCCCCTTACCCTGAGTGCCCTTCGAAGTGCAGTCCAAACCCGGCTTCACTGGCCCAGCGATGTCAATCGTGAGGGTGAACATATCCGGATGACGAACTCGAGCGTGTCGACGCCCCGTTCCTCGGGCCAAAACACATGTTAGGCATTCCCGGTTGTAGTCGAGGTGGTTGTTATCGACGTGCGTTTTCCATTGTGCTGCCGTCATAGGACACAATCGCGGGGTAGTAGCGGGATGTCTTCTCCAGAACGTCATCGCCATCACCACGGCCTTTGTAAGACCCTCCGACCAGGTCCCACTCGTGTCGCTCCCTGCCCCTAGGTTCGCAACCTTGGCTTACATGCGAAAGCGACCCGCTGATGATGCGACGCTCGCAGAGTGCGCACGCGTGATGTGTTCGTTGCTTGGGGATCATGGCTGGGCACACCAACTCACTGCCACAGCCTATATGGCAATAGCAGCAGCAAAAGATTCTGCATTGAAGTCAGTAGGCTCCATGGAATATTGAGCAACTGTTGATGGAGGAAATCTTGCACCAGTTTAAGTGGCCAAGCCAAGCAGACACCCCACGCCCCCTTTTTAACATTGACCGGTGATCCTCGGAAGTGCCGTGGGTTCCAATGACAAAAATCTTGCACCACCTCCGTATCCATCATCTTCAATGTTAAAAAGGGGGTGCGGGGTTATGCTCAAGTGTCGTGTCACCTGTTACTAGGTAGATGGTGCAAGATTTCCTCCATCAACCGACAGGATCCTTCTTGCTGAGATGACCAAAGTAGCCTGTGTCTTCACTCGGCTGTACCACGCTTCCTGTGACGGGTACCATCCACATGCAGACCAAGCCCGATACATGTCCAAGAATGCGATACGGCAAGCTTGTTGGCACGGCTGGTTGCTACAGGTACGACCCAAGACCACACAAGCCGACTGTGGTTGCAGGCTTCCAGGATGCGACGTTTTTTGCACCCTGACCCTGGTGCTCCACTTCGATCCAAGCCTGCTCCATGCAGCTCCGCGGCACTCCGGTGGGACTCCCACTGGCGAGCTCCTCGTGTATTCTGGCTTAGTGTAAATCCCTTACATTTCCCACAGTTAACGCTCAGTTAACATTCAGTTAACACTCAGTCAACACTACAGTTAACACTACAGTTAACACTGCCGAAATGCTGGGAAAACCGGCATTTTCGTCAAATGTGTATATAAGACACTAAAACTAGCAGTTTTTCTTTTCAAAATGCGTGTATTCTGCAAAATGCTGGTTTTTGCGGCATTTCGGCAGTGTTAACTGTAGTGTTAACTGTAGTGTTAACTGAGTGTTAACTGAGTGTTAACTGTAGAAAAGGCACACTATGCAGTTAACACTTGTTACTCTGCCGAAATGCAAGGAAAACCTGCGTTTCCTAAAATCTGTCTTACAAGTACCTCGGTCCTTGACACACTGTGACACACCGACACACATGGTGAGATGGTGAGGGATCGATATTGTGGCTTGTCATCACTTGCATATTGCTTACTGTGACAACAGTTGAAGGTGCGACAGGATCCTTCTTGCTGAGATGACCCAAGTAGCCTGTGTCGTCACTCGACTGTACCACGCTTCCTGTGACGGGTACCATCCACATGCAGACCAAGCCCGATACATGTCCAAGAATGCGATACGGCAAGCTTGTTGGCACGGCTGGTTGCTATAGGTACGACCCAAGACCACACAAGCCGACTGTGGTTGCAGGCTTCCAGGATGCGACTTTTTTTGCACCCTGACCCTGGTGCTCCACTTCGATCCAAGCCTGCTCCATGCAGCTCCGCGGCACTCCGGTGGGACTCCCACTGGCGAGCTCCTCGTGTATTCTGGCTTAGTGTAAACAGTGTAAACCCCTTACATTTCCCACAGTTAACGCTCAGTTAACACTCAGTTAACACTCAGTTAACACTACAGTTAACACTACAGTTAACACTGCCGAAATGCTGGGAGAACCGGCATTTTCGTCAAATGTGTATACAAGACACTAAAACTAGCAGTTTTTCTTTTCAAAATGCGTGTATTCTGCAAAATGCTGGTTTTTGTGGCATTTCGGCAGTGTTAACTGTAGTGTTAACTGTAGTGTTAACTGAGTGTTAACTGAGTGTTAACTGTAGAAAAGGCACACTATGCAGTTAACACTTATTACTCTGCCGAAATGCAAGGAAAACCTGCGTTTCCTAAAATCTGTCTTACAAGTACCTCGGTCCTTGACACACTGTGACACACCGACACACATGGTGAGATGGTGAGGGATCGATATTGTGGCTTGTCATCACTTGCATATTGCTTACTGTGACAACAGTTGAAGGTACGACAGGATCCTTCTTGCTGAGATGACCCAAGTAGCCTGTGTCGTCGCTCGACTGTACCACGCTTCTGTGACGGGTACCATCCACATGCAGACCAAGCCCGGTACATGTCCAAGAATGCGATACGGCAAGCTTGTTGGCACGGCTGGTTGCTACAGGTACGACCCAAGACCACACAAGCCGACTGTGGTTGCAGGCTTCCAGGATGCGACGTTTTTTGCACCCTGACCCTGGTGCTCCACTTCGATCCAAGCCTGCTCCATGCAGCTCCGCGGCACTCCGGTGGGACTCCCACTGGCGAGCTCCTCGTGTATTCTGGCTTAGTGTAAATCCCTTACATTTCCCACAGTTAACGCTCAGTTAACATTCAGTTAACACTCAGTCAACACTACAGTTAACACTACAGTTAACACTGCCGAAATGCTGGGAAAACCGGCATTTTCGTCAAATGTGTATATAAGACACTAAAACTAGCAGTTTTTCTTTTCAAAATGCGTGTATTCTGCAAAATGCTGGTTTTTGCGGCATTTCGGCAGTGTTAACTGTAGTGTTAACTGTAGTGTTAACTGAGTGTTAACTGTAGAAAAGGCACACTATGCAGTGTAGAAAAGGCACACTATGCAGTTAACACTTATTACTCTGCCGAAATGCAAGGAAAACCTGCGTTTCCTAAAATCTGTCTTACAAGTACCTCGGTCCTTGACACACTGTGACACACCGACACACATGGTGAGATGGTGAGGGATCGATATTGTGGCTTGTCATCACTTGCATATTGCTTACTGTGACAACAGTTGAAGGTACGACAGGATCCTTCTTGCTGAGATGACCCAAGTAGCCTGTGTCGTCACTCGACTGTACCACGCTTCCTGTGACGGGTACCGTTGGCACGGCTGGTTGCTATAGGTACGACCCAAGACCACACAAGCCGACTGTGGTTGCAGGCTTCCAGGATGCGACTTTTTTTGCACCCTGACCCTGGTGCTCCACTTCGATCCAAGCCTGCTCCATGCAGCTCCGCGGCACTCCAGTGGGACTCCCACTGGCGAGCTCCTCGTGTATTGTGGCTTAGTGTAAACCCCTTACATTTCCCACAGTTAACGCTCAGTTAACACTCAGTTAACACTCAGTTAACACTACAGTTAACACTACAGTTAACACTGCCGAAATGCTGGGAAAACCGGCATTTTCGTCAAATGTGTATACAAGACACTAAAACTAGCAGTTTTTCTTTTCAAAATGCGTGTATTCTGCAAAATGCTGGTTTTTGTGGCATTTCGGCAGTGTTAACTGTAGTGTTAACTGTAGTGTTAACTGAGTGTTAACTGAGTGTTAACTGTAGAAAAGGCACACTATGCAGTTAACACTTGTTACTCTGCCGAAATGCAAGGAAAACCTGCGTTTCCTAAAATCTGTCTTACAAATACCTCGGTCCTTGACACACCGTGACACACCGACACACATGGTGAGATGGTGAGGGATCGATATTGTGGCTTGTCATCACTTGCATATTGCTTACTGTGACAACAGTTGAAGGTACTGAATCATACTTAATCAGCATAACAAAAAACGAAAATGACAAAGCCAGATGCCTTCGCAACTGTCGTTACTTTACGCCGGGTGTTGTCACGCGACATCAGACACCACATAATCTGGACCACCAAGCCAGCTCGCGAATGTGTGGATCCAGCTGGAGATGATAGAATCTTTTCCATGGCCTCCACAGATGCATGAATGTCTGTCTGACTCTTGACTTAGGCAGAGGACCAGGATCGGACGCCTGGCCCGAAGGCTATGGATGGGTTTGGCTGAGTTTATTGTTGCACATTGGCCAGTTGACTCGACGTTTAGTCATACAGGCTGGCAAATCTGGCAAAAGCAGTGTTGAGAAGTGGCTCAAGGCCACTGGTATCTTTGCATCTGAGTGTTGTTCTGCTGCTTTGTTTCTTCAGAATTCTGTCCAGGCAGAAGGACAAGAAGAAGACAAAGAAGATGTTGCTTGTCAGAGCTTGGCGACATCTTCATTGGTTTAACACTGACATGTGGAGTCCGATTCGACATGCTATCCAGCTGAGGACCACAAAACCGAAGACAAAGAAGTTGCTTGGGCAATGTTTTGCTAGCCATACAATGTCAATGTCGAGTCAGTGAAAGTGAAATGTGGGCCGATTCGACATACTATCCAGCCTAGGCCACCGACGCCAAAGGCACGACCAAAGCCCAAAGCCCGGCCGATACCTCGGGAGTTGCTTGGATGCAATGATTTGAGAGTGACATCTTGGCCCGGTTCATCAGTTAGTTATTATTAGATTAGACATGTCATAACTGAGCATGACATGTGGACCCATTCGACATGCCATCCAGCCTAGGCCGACGACCGGTCCGAGCGCATCCCACCTGAAGTCGAAGGAGTTGCTTGGTAATTCAGTTCGACAAAGCCATTGCAGAGTGGCATGTGGGGCGATTCGACATGCTGTCCAGCCGAGGCCACAGAGGAGCACAAGGTCCAGGAGTCCAAGGGTGTTACTTGGATCAAGCAGACTGCATGCCGACTCACATGTGAGCTTGACGTGTTGCAGATGTTTATTTACATTTCGAATATTGCAGTAGCTATTCAACTTAGGTCCAAGAAGATGACGGCCACGGCAAGTCATCCAAGGCCACCGACGGCTTTGCTCGGTCGACACCAACATTATGCAAACTCATATGTGGGCTTCACATGTTGCACACTTAAATTGTTTTGAATAGCAGTA